AGAGAGAGAGAAAATGGTGGTGCTGAGTCAGGTAAAACGCTCTCTGGGGAAACGCAGGTGCCGTCTCCCCACACGGAGGACGAGGACGCAGGCTGAGAGACGGAGGGCGAAGTCTGGCGACTAACTGCAAATGGAGACACCAGCCGAGCCCTGGCCAGCGCCCGGACCAGCCCGTCTGCTCTTGACATTGCGCCCGACAAAGAAGTTCGGCCTCCAGGCTTCCGCTCACTTCCAAAGCACAGAGGACACACAACGTTTGGCAAAAAAAGAAAATGGCTTGGTAAATCACCCCCCTTTTCTAAATGTTTTTATTGAGTTTTAAAGAGAGTAATGGAGAGGGAGAGAGAGAGAGAAACATCAATGATCAGAGAATCATGGACCGGCTGCCTCCTGCACGCCCCGCACTGGGGATGGAGCCCACAGCCCGGGCCTGGGCCCTGATGGGGAATTAAACCCTGACCTCCTGGTTCCTGGGTCGATGCTCAGCCCCTGAGCCACGACGGCCGAGTGACCCCATGTTTTTCTTCAACCAACCCACCCCCCCCACCCCCCACGCGGAACCTCTGGGCCCAGGAAGACGGGCCCCTGAAAACGGGCTCCGAGGGCACCGACCCGCTTCTCGTCGTCCTGCGTGTGCTTCCTGGTTTTCTGGAGCAGCTTTAGGCCTTCGATCTGCCTGACGAGCAGCGGTATGGTCGCCTTGAACCGGTCCTCCAGGCTCACGGCGTCCAGGATCTAAAGGAGCGAGAGCGAGAGCGAGCCCGTTACTAGAAGCACGCGCTCCACGGCCAGGCGGGCGGAGGCACAGCGCCCACTGTCAGACACCTCCTTCCAGGGGTCACCTCTCCCTGCGGCCAACACCACCACAGTCACTGCATGAACTCGGCGAGGCCGCCTGGCACGGAGACCAGATCCCTAAACAAGACCAAAGAGCATCTCGAGTTTCCATTTAAAAATGAGGCCACATGTGTGGTCCCAAAAGCAAGAACAGAACACACACTGTATGGCCACTCCTTCTGGGAATTAATCTCCGAAAGCCTAGAATGTGTCTACACATTAGATCTAAACAAATTCGAGGCTCAGAACATTGAAGTTTTACTCACACGGGAGACTAGAAGCACTTTCCGCCACCGTTCCCTGCCGGTGTGGCGGCCACGGACACATCAGGGCAACTGGCACCCTGCTCGCGCCCGAAGCAGGTGCCGGTGCTCCTGCCGCCGCCCGCTCCTCCCGGGGACTGAATCCCTGCTTACACCCAGTCTGTTTGCGTCAGCGGTACTTCCTGTTACAACAGCTGGATTTAAGTATTACATAAACTGATAAAGGAAGGAGGGTGATTTCAATAAAAACGAGTTTAGCCGGACCGGTGTGGCTCAGCAGTTGAGCACCGACCCAGGAACTGAGAGGTCACTGGTTGGACTCCCGGTCAGGGCGCACGCCCAGGGTGTGGGCTCGGTCCCCAGTGGGGTGTGTGCAGGAAGCAGCTGGTCGACGATGTTTCTCTCGCATCGATGTTTCTATCTCTCTCTCCCTCCCCCTTCCTCTCTCTCTAAAAATCAATAAAAACGTATTTTTTTAAAAAATAAATGAAAACTAGTTTAAAGGTTCTGGGAAGACTCAACAAAGCAGGCTGCTTAAAAATACTGTAAAAGTAAGTTTGCAAGAGAACTTTCACGATTTGGGGAAAAACATGCACATCTAAGATCTTGAACTTGATGATTTTTCAAGTGTCTTTAAAACTCGTTTCTCTCTAAAGAAACAGAAATGGAAAATTACAGGTAACGCATCACGGTGTGTTTCACGTAAGAAACACCAAGAATCCCAAGCAGCCCACGCAGGGAAAGGGCGCGGCTCCGCGTGTTTAAAAACGGTGGACGGGGTATATTTATATGTTTAGGTTGGGTTAAATATCTACCTGTGTTATTGTTCTCTGCTTTAACCTTCTCCATAAACTGACGAGTGCCAATGCTGAAGACGCGAGTAAAAGCCCTCACTTTGAGATTCCCTCTCACTCCTCCGTGAGCCGCCAGCAGCCTCACGGAAGGCTCGCGTGTCCTCGCTCTCTAGACCCAGCGGAACCGTGACCAAGGGCCTCGGCGCCCGCGGGGCCCCGCACCTGCAGCTTCTCCTTGTTGCTCGTGCGGATGATGGACGTCAGGATGTCGGGGAGGGCTTCCCGGGGAAGGCTGTCCAGGAGACGCCTCAGCTTCGCCACCGCGGGGACGGACATGTCCAGCATCTCCACCAGCTGCGAGGGGAGGGGGCGTTACTGCCGCGCGGGCTTCGTGTGCGCCTCAGAGGAATATGCCAAACAGAATGAAAAGCAAAAAGGGCTCCAACATGGATAATACTAATGCATATAAATCTGTGGTTTTATTTAGAAAAAAATTAAAATTTATTGGAAAGTTGCAATGGTACAATGAACTCTATATTCTTCCCCTAAATTCACCAATTATTAACTTCTTGCCCATTTGCTTTCTCCCTCTCTCTCCCTCTCTTACACACACACACACACACACACCATCACTGAGGAAGTTGCAGGCATCGCGGCCTCTGCCCTGAAGCACAGGGCACCCTCTTACGTCACCCAGCGGGCGGCCCGGCGCTGGAAAGCCGCACAGCTGAGGCTAACCTGCTAGCAAACCAGGAGCTGAAACACAGCTTCCCAGCAGGACCCTCGGACTATGAGAATCTGAGTGCCAACTGGGAATGATTTCTGTGAGGCAACGGAGTTCGGGCGCTTTCAGTAACTGGGATCCACGGGCTGGACACAGGCTGCGCCCCCGTCTGGACGTGGCCGGGCTGCTTCCCAGCTCCTCTCACACAGACGTGGCTGTGAGCCCTGAGACACGAGGGAGTGCCAGCTGCTCTGGTGGGAGCGCTCAGAGCCGCGAGGGGGCCGCCGTCTCCGGCTCCG